TAATATCTACTTACATAGTATTTGATGTACATGCATGTGAACTGAAAAGGTTAGACAGAGTTATGTCTCTTTTCGACTAGGTAATATTTGTACCTAAGCTCATAAAGAATAAATTGATTATTAAACTGTAGAAGAATGAGTTGTTGCATGTTTGTAATTGTGTATTGTACAAGTTGGTAAAAGTTCAGAATTATACTTGCATGAATTGTAAAGTTCTTTTACGTCTGACTGCATTAGTCAAGACGCATCAGATTCTAAAAGAAAAATATATATGAAATAAAGCTTCAGTCACTTCAAATGGTAAATGGGGTAAAGAAGAAATAAAAAACTATACGTCAACCTTTTCTACTTGACTTTTAGTCGCTTTTACCTTCATTTTTCTTCAGCTTTCTTTCTTACTCCTTACCTTTCTTCACTCTATTTCTGCGATTTGCGTTTACCGATGAAAAGTCTGAACACAAAAGGGACATGCATTAGTTGCTCAGCGTAATGAGTCTGACCATAATTTCGATTTCAGAAATGCTCAGTTATGTGCCATGCGTGATACACGCATAGGCGATCATATATCTTTCGATACATGACGGACGAGGCAGATTTTTTTCCTGCAGTAGATTGCCGTTTTCTTCTGCGGTAGATCAGTTGCCATCCAAAGCTACAGAGAAGCAAAGGATTCCTTCCCAAGGGTATTAGCACGAAAGTGAATGTAATGGATTCGACTGGAATTCGAACTTGGCTTTCCGATTCCTCAATCCGAGCCGCTGTTCATTATTCCATCGTGCCTCCTGCGAAAATGTATAGAAAGTACTTAAATCGCTAAATCATCCACAGTAAATTTATGTCGAAGTGCTTACAACAGTTCACCTTTCTTAGCAGATCTTCTGTTATCGCATGTGGTATACTTAATAACAAAATTGATAAAGACATTATATATATATATATATATATATATATATATAAACAGACCCCTTTAAGTTTCCATGTAATAAATTATTTTACCACAGCCCTTTTTTTTATGTAAATTAACGAAGTGAGGAAGTGAAGAGGGCGAGAGAAGACATGAATGAGTTGGCGGACATTGACACATTTCAACATATGTTGAATACGGCCCGTCAAAAATGTGTAAATGTTCTTTTCATTTTTTGTTTGGAAGTAAAGTCTGATGATCCGCAGTTCTTTTAAAAGGGCTGTGGTAAAATAATTTATTACATGGAACCTTAAAGTGGTCTGTTTTTATTTACATTGAGCTCTCTGGATTTTATCCTCCTTAGGTTTCTCCATACGGATTACCTAGTTTTTCATAAACTATATATATATATATATATATATATATATATATATATATATATATCCATGTGTGTGTGTGTGTGTGTGAGTGTGAGCTTGGAATGAACGCTCTTTTTTCAAAAAACAAAACAAACATGATTTAAAATGTAGCAGTCAAACATGAGGAAAAAATAATAACACCAGAGAAAAAAAACTTGAAAATGGCTATAGAAATGGCCGAAAGTGCTTGGGACAATAAAAATTATGGCCAATTTTTATATTCCTTGACTCCTAAAAAACGTGAAAATCTCAGGATGGTTGAAAACTTAATAAAAATTAATTCAATCTCCCTTCTCGGCCGTATTCAATGAAAGATGTTTGTAAGAAAGGATGCTGCCAATATATACATTATATATATATATATATATATATGAAGAAAATATACAGAAAAAACAAACAAAAATCTTAATATGTAATTATGCTGTATTAATGTTAATATAAAGTCAACGTCGGACGTTTCGGTCTATTTTAGACCATCATCAGGACTTATTTATAAAACATAATTAACATTAGAACATATAAAATATCCATATATTTGCTTATATATATATATATATATGTGTGTGTGTGTGTGTGGAATAAAAATGTTAATGGTCAGAGTTGAATTAAACTAGGAAACAGAAGTATCAAAATTGTGCTCAATACCCATATAAAAAGATTAAAATTTAACATGTAGAGTTTTTAAGTATAGAAAATTAGGAAATCAGTTGTTTCCGCCATCTTGGTTTTAATCTTTTAGGTATCGTCTGTTGATTTCGGTCAATTGATTTCCTAACGCTTTATCTTTTTAAAATAAAAAAATTACAAACGCCCTATTTTAAAAAAAAAAAATGAATAAATGAATAAAGGCACGACGTGAGGTGTGGTTTGAGGTTACCGTTCTTGACTTTTAGAACCTTCAATGTTAATTACATGAATTCAAGAAAATAACTTCTTAAGTGGAGATTATGTAAAACATGTCACAAATTACATATCGCTAATTACCTCTCAAATTAATTAAAGAATATTTTTATCTTATTTTTTTAATATGTATTTACAATGCATTTTTTTAGAGGACAATAAAATAAAGATTGTCGTCTTGAACCGGAACCAAATTTCACCGTTTGCATTCGGCTTTGAATTTCTACAGTCGAATCTACATGATTTTCTTACAATTTCAAAGAATGGTTTCACAGTAAACTGGAATGGCAGAGATGAACTCAGCATCAGTTGTCGATGCAAATGCAAAACACAAGTAGGTTTTGTTTTTGTTTTCTTTTTGTTTTTTCTATAAAAACTTTTAAAACTTTCCAAAATTGGCTCAGATCATGAACGAATTTATTATGCTTACTAATGCTGTTAACAAAATGATCCATCCAACAGATTTCTTCCCGTGTATAATCCTGGGTGCATAATAAAATGACGGGGCCTTAATAATTTGGGGCGGTTAGAATTTTTATCAATATGCAATAAACGGGTGGAACTTAAGCGTGGCAGTCATTTGCGCATATTTTATGTAGGGCACGATTTACTTGTAAATAGAGTTTATCAGAAATTTTCCAGAAAGATCGAATTTTCCAGATATTTTCAGAAGGATCTTGCGGTAAGTGTATCACTACATAAGTAAAACAGGAAATAGTCGCAGTTTTCAAAATCGCGGTAGAAGTTTTCAATATGCTCTGCTGGCAGTCGTCCAAATCCCTGAAGAGACAGCCTCCCTCTTTGAACTTTTTGGGTCATGTCGAAATCTGCATTGCAGTTGGTTCATTTTTAGCGAATTCTCTCACAAATGCACGCTGTCGAGTCTTATTCGACTGTACTCGAGCAAACTCTAACACAGAAAACACCTTTTCTTTTCCACTAAAAAGAAAAAAAAAACAAAATAAATTTAAACAGAGAATTTTGAGTTGATTCTATAGATGCTCTTAAAAGTTGAGATCATTAAGCGAGAATTGGTCAAGTTATTAGATTACGAAATATCAATTGTTTTATGAAACGCTCTATATACAGATTGCGATAGGTAAATTGTCGTCTGAATCACGCAAATAAATAAATAAATAAAAATAACACTGATATATATATTTACCAAAGTTTCACAAACATATCTTGAAATACTAAAGAGTAAATTTATTCAATAAAATCGCCATTGGTTTCACCCACAGCCTCTAGACAACTTTGGAATCTCCTGCAACTCTTCTGGGCGATCCCCTTGTTTAAGTAGGTGAATGCTGTCATAATCCCTGCCTTTATTTCATCTTTGGTGCTACAAGGAGTTTTTTTAGCAACAGGACTTTGCACCATGGCACACAAGCAGGAGAACCCATTCATGGCTGTCAGACAATTTCTGCGACCGCATCACCCCTTACATCTGGCCACATAACTCACCAGACTGAAACCCTCTTGATTATTATATGTGAGGCGCAGAGTTGAGGCGTAATGACTTCTTGTCCTGGGCATGACGATAAACTACATCCGGCAGCAAGGTCTCTGATCGAGAGGTTTTGAGGAGCCTGAAACCACCTCTTAATTGCTATTGTTCCCAGGTCCACTGTGACCCGGGGTGGTAGTACCGGTTAGGGTCCCAGCTATGGGCAAATAGTGAACACCAAAAAATAATCAACAGTTCATTTTATAATAAAATGACCAACAATATATTTTTATAGTAAAATGATAAAATTTTAAAATTTTCCTTTATTTGAATAAATGAATATTAACCTTTTTTCATATCATTATATTCAACATTCTTTGTTTAATTTAAAATTTTTACAAAGTTATATTGAATTATGAATTAATATTGTCGAAGTTTCCGATATGCAGCATTTGAGTACTTGATTTAATCATTTTTATTTTCATTTGATTTAATCATTTTTATTTTCATTTGATTTAATCATTTTTCAATTTTTTAAAAGTATATTACTCTGAAAATTGTATAAAATGAAAATGACATTAACTGTACAGAAATTGTTGTTATTTTTTTCAAAGTAATATTTGTGTGTGTATTTATTGTTTTATTTCATAACATTTAAATGTATATACCCTTTCAAAATTTTGCTATGTGTGCAATGATATTTTCATTTGCTCCTAGGTCAGATCTATATTTTAAGTTGTAAATAAAACATATCAAAGTATATTATATAAGACTTCTATTCTCCATCTATAAAACTGGGACCCTTTACTTTCTTTACTGATTATACACTTTAACGGGACTGGAGGATGAATTTGCCGAAATATTACAGACAAACTTATTCAAGTCCTCCTTCTCATAGCCTCACTTATGTTGTTTGGAAGATTAAATTTCGTCGTTTGACTTTGAGATTTTCTTGAGGTATATTGCAAATACGAAAATCGCTGCATCACATTTTCATAAATGCAAGCAACAAATGTTTGTCTGGTGTTGTTAAGATTCTATTCCATTTCCAGAGCTACAGTAATTTTTATCACTTGAATAAATGAGATTAAAAAGCTTTTTAATTCAGATTACCAAAAAACGGAAGAGAGAAACCCCCAAGAAAAGTTATGGAAGTAAAAAGAAAAAAAGAAAAATAAAACATTCCCCTGAAAAATTGAATGAGACAATAAAATTTTAAAATTTACTTTCAATTTAGGTGATGGGATTGTGCTGTCCAGATTACACAACAAGTATTTCAACTACTGACTACGTGACACCTTCAAATTCAGAAACCAGTTTTTCAAGCGTTATGGGCTCAAGTTCCGAAAACATAGCAGAAAGTAGTACGCAACCCAAATTCAGCAGCTCCATGGACGTCACTTCCGGACGCGTTTCATCAGGAAGCACACCAGCCAACTTTGCAAGTACAATGGACGACACATCCAAAGGCATTACATCTGGAAGTACGCAAACCACATTCACCAGCTCCATGGATGTCACTTCCGGACGCGTTTCATCTGGAAGCACACAACCCAACTTTGCAAGTTCAATGGGCGACACATCCAAAGGCATTACATCTGGAAGTACGCAAAACACATTCACCAGCTCCATGGATGTCACATCCGGACGCGTTTCATCAGGAAGTACACAACCCAACTTTTCAAGTACAATGGGTGACACATCCAAAGGCATTACATCTGGAAGTACGCAGCACAAATTCACCAGCTCCATGGACGTCACTTCCGGACGCGTTTCATCAGGAAGCACACCAGCCAACTTTGCAAGTACAATGGGCGACACATCCAAAGGCATTACATCTGGAAGTACGCAGCACAAATTCACCAGCTCCATGGACGTCACTTCCGGACGAGTTTCATCTGGAAGCACACAACCCAACTTTGCAAGTTCAATGGGCGACACATCCAAAAGCATTACATCTGGAAGTACGCAGCACAAATTCACCAGCTCCATGGACGTCACTTCCGGGCGAGTTTCATCAGGGAGCACACCAGCCAATATTGCAAGTTCAATGGGCGACACATCCAAAGGCATTACATCTGGAAGTACGCAAACCACATTCACCAGCTCCATGGATGTCACTTCCGGACGCGTTTCATCAGGAAGTACACAACCCAACTTTGCAAGTACAATGGGTGACACATCCAAAGGCATTACAACTGGAAGTACGCAGCACAAATTCACCAGCTCCATGGACGTCACCTCCGGACGCGTTTCATCTGGGAGCACACCAACCCAACTTTGCAAGTTCAATGGGCGACACATCCAAAGGCATTACATCTGGAAGTACGCAAAACACATTCACCAGCTCCATGGATGTCACATCCGGACGCGTTTCATCAGGAAGTACACAACCCAACTTTTCAAGTACAATGGGTGACACATCCAAAGGCATTACATCTGGAAGTACGCAGCACAAATTCACCAGCTCCATGGACGTCACTTCCGGACGCGTTTCATCAGGAAGCACACCAGCCAATATTGCAAGTTCAATGGGCGACACATCCAAAAGCATTACATCTGGAAGTACGCAGCACAAATTCACCAGCTCCATGGACGTCACTTCCGGGCGAGTTTCATCAGGGAGCACACCAGCCAATATTGCAAGTTCAATGGGCGACACATCCAAAAGCATTACATCTGGAAGTACGCAGCACAAATTCACCAGCTCCATGGACGTCACTTCCGGGCGAGTTTCATCAGGAAGTACACCAGCCAATATTGCAAGTTCAATTGGCGACACATCCAAAGGCATTACATCTGGAAGTACGCAAACCACATTCACCAGCTCCATGGATGTCACTTCCGGACGCGTTTCATCAGGAAGCACACCAGCCAATATTGCAAGTACAATGGGTGACACGTCCAAAGGCATTACATCTGGAAGTACGCAAAACACATTCACCAGCTCCATGGATGTCACATCCGGACGCGTTTCATCAGGAAGTACACAACCCAACTTTTCAAGTACAATGGGTGACACATCCAAAGGCATTACATCTGGAAGTACGCAGCACAAATTCACCAGCTCCATGGACGTCACTTCCGGGCGAGTTTCATCAGGGAGCACACCAGCCAATATTGCAAGTACAATGGGTGACACGTCCAAAGGCATTACATCTGGAAGTACGCAAACCACATTCTCCAGCTCCATGGATGTCACTTCCGGACGCGTTTCATCTGGAAGCACACAACCCAACTTTGCAAGTTCAATGGGCGACACATCCAAAGGCATTACATCTGGAAGTACGCAAAACACATTCACCAGCTCCATGGATGTCACATCCGGACGCGTTTCATCAGGAAGTACACAACCCAACTTTTCAAGTACAATGGGTGACACATCCAAAGGCATTACATCTGGAAGTACGCAGCACAAATTCACCAGCTCCATGGACGTCACTTCCGGGCGAGTTTCATCAGGAAGCACACCAGCCAATATTGCAAGTACAATGGGTGACACATCCAAAGGCATTACATCTGGAAGTACGCAGCACAAATTCACCAGCTCCATGGACGTCACTTCCGGGCGAGTTTCATCAGAAGCACACCAGCCAATATTGCAAGTACAATGGGTGACACATCCAAAGGCATTACATCTGGAAGTACGCAGCACAAATTCACCAGCTCCATGGACGTCACTTCCGGGCGAGTTTCATCAGGAAGCACACCAGCCAATATTGCAAGTACAATGGGTGACACGTCCAAAGGCATTACATCTGGAAGTACGCAAACCACATTCTCCAGCTCCATGGATGTCACTTCCGGACGCGTTTCATCTGGAAGCACACGTGCAAACTTTGCAAGTACAATGGGTGACACGTCCAACGGCATTACAACTGGAATTACGCAACATAAATTCACCAGCTCCATGGACGTCACCTCCGGACGCGTTTCATCTGGAAGCACACAACCCAACTTTGCAAGTTCAATGGGCGACACATCCAAAGGCATTACATCTGGAAGTACGCAAAACACATTCACCAGCTCCATGGATGTCACATCCGGACGCGTTTCATCAGGAAGTACACAACCCAACTTTTCAAGTACAATGGGTGACATCCAAAGGCATTACATCTGGAAGTACGCAGCACAAATTCACCAGCTCCATGGACGTCACTTCCGGACGCGTTTCATCAGGAAGCACACCAGCCAACTTTGCAAGTACAATGGGCGACACATCCAAAAGCATTACATCTGGAAGTACGCAGCACAAATTCACCAGCTCCATGGACGTCACTTCCGGGCGAGTTTCATCAGGGAGCACACCAGCCAATATTGCAAGTTCAATGGGCGACACATCCAAAAGCATTACATCTGGAAGTACGCAGCACAAATTCACCAGCTCCATGGACGTCACTTCCGGGCGAGTTTCATCAGGAAGCACACCAGCCAATATTGCAAGTACAATGGGTGACACGTCCAAAGGCATTACATCTGGAAGTACGCAAACCACATTCTCCAGCTCCATGGATGTCACTTCCGGACGCGTTTCATCTGGAAGCACACGTGCAAACTTTGCAAGTACAATGGGTGACACGTCCAACGGCATTACAACTGGAAGTACGCAACATAAATTCACCAGCTCCATGGACGTCACTTCCGGGCGAGTTTCATCAGGAAGCACTCCAGCCAATATTGCAAGTACAATGGGTGACACGTCCAATGGCATTACAACTGGAAGTACGCAGCGCAAATTAACCAGCTCTATGGACGTCACCTCTGACCACGTTACGCAAAAGTCAGCTTTATCTTCTTCAGGAAGTACTTTACGCGTGTCGAGACTAAATAGTTTCCTGACCACCCTACTCACCTCGCCTGGTTATTTTCAATGTAATTTTTTGTTTTTCTTTTTTTTCCATTTTTTACATTTCTCTTTAAAATCATCCAGGCCGGTAAATGTCGTTAATACTGTTTATTATAAACAGATCATTTACTTAAATATTTGTATCTATAAAAAGAACGTATAAACAAAAAATGTCTTAAAATAATTTTCGGACTTTATCTATTTCATAATGTGTGACGTCATTTGTTTACATTTTGGATATGCATCGAGCAGATATGAATGTACGAGAGAAAATCATGGAGAATTGTAGTTTAGAAACAGTAAAATTAGGTACCCCTACAAAATGTAAACAAAAAGAGCATAGCATGAACGCCGAACTTGACGAAAACAAAATTTTATCGTCTAATGTTCATATTATTATTAAAGAGGAAAGATCAAAGTATTTTGGGGGTATTTTTCTACATTTTTTAAGCGTTCCTAGCACGTCTGAAATTTTCGTTAAAAATATTGTTTTTCTTTGTCAAAAAAATGGACAGATAATCCATCATTTTCAATCATTTTTTTCCATTTTATAAAAAAGATGAAAATCTGACTTTGATATTGTTTTAAGAATCAATTTTCGAAACTTATTTTAATAGAATGAGAAATTAATGTTTATTTAAAATATTTTGAACCAAGCTTAATTTAGCTTCTGCGCCGAAGAAATGTAATTTGAAAATAAAACAAAGCAGGCCATAACCTTTCGCGTCATTTGACAGGTGACGAAAGACAGATTCATGACGTTTAGATAACCTACGGGAGAATAATTCTTTCTACGGATGGAAGGAAATGAAATTATTTAGATTTAAGTGAACAAATTATTTACCTCGTTACTTTTAAGGAAAACTTTCAGCGCTCTAATTTTTTAATTTTTTTTTTTTTTTGTACTAACTTTCATCTTTACGTTTACGATGCTTTATGGAAAATATAAAGAAATTAAAAAATAAGACTGTTGTTAGTGAGATTAAATTTCATAAGAAAGGTATCTAATTAATTTATAGGTACCTTTCTTATGAAATTCTATCAGAAGTGTACATAAAATACTACAATTTTATGTACATTTATTACATTTTACTGTGTTATTTGCGTCTCCATTCATTTTATTATTAATTTTGATATTTCATTTATGGAAAAATGTCATAACTGAGATTAATATAAAAATAAGATCATATAAATTAAAGTTTAGCAGTAGTTAAATTTCATAAGATGATACTGATACTTACAGGTACCTTTCTCAGTTGAAATTGAAAAATCAAATTAACTTCTCCATACGTGTTTCGCAAAAGTAAAGGCCTTAACAGCGGAGAACAATGCTGAATTCAAATAATGCAACTAAATTGTATTTTGGTTGGTCTTCCGTACTTTATAATTACCGCCCGATTATAAATACAAAAATTACTATTCTTAATTACTTTGGATTGGTTCAAATGATACAATTTTCAAAGCGCTAGACAATGACGATCTCATAAGGACACTTTGAAAGGTTGACGTTGCTTTTAACTAATGTTATAATATTTTTAAAAAACTTAATAACTAACTTTGTAAAAATCTATTATAATTAAAGAAATAACAAATAATTGTATTAAAAATTCAATTTTCATTGAAAAAATTTTTTGCTTTCAGAAAATATTGTCCATATTCATATAAACAACTAAAAGCAAATAAAAGCATTTGAAATTAAATAATATCTCTGTTTTATTGAGTTTTGTATGTTACAATTCAGAGCTGATTTTCAGGTACGTGGGATCCAATTAAAAAAAAAACATGATTTGCATTCTTCAAAGCCTTGTGCTTTTAACTATTGTAATCACTAAGGTTGATGCACTCGAATTTCTAGTTTTTCATAAAATTAGTTATGGGGGTGTTAATAAATATAAAAAAAAATATTTCTGCCATGACTTTGATAAAAAAAAACATATTTATAATAATTTCGATCATCTGTGAATAGTTTCTGAAAGTTACTTTAACATCTGACAATTATTTTTATTTTTGCAAGATTTTCCAAATTAATGTGTGTAATACATAAAAAAAAACGTGCTAAAAATTATCCATGTTATTTACTAGCCCATGTTGGTACAAAGAGAAACAAGTTTTTTTTTAATCAAAATTTAGAATGTTCTAAAAAGAAGGGAAAATTTTTAAAAAATAATTAAAAAAAACTTTGGTCTTTCCTCTTCATAAAAACATAAGCATTTAGACGATAAAATTTTGTTTTCATAAAGTTTGACGTCTTTTTCATCAGACTATGCTCTTTTTTTTAGCGATTTCGTGGAGTTACCTAAGTAAAATCGACCTTGTTAACCGAAACGCTCCTCTGTGGCTAAATCGGTGAAGTACGTCAGGCTATACGACGGTTCCGTATAAGATACAGATTCGATTCCTGTCGGAGGACGCATATTTTCTGTGACAATTTCTCGGACATTCAAGTCGTTAAATGTTGTTAAAACTATTTATTATAAACAGAGCATTTACTTAAATATTTATATTTGTAAAAAGAACTTATAAACATAAAAAATGTCTTAAAATATTCGCTTGTTTACAATTATATACAATAAAAACTGCGTGTGTAAAAAGAAAATAGTTAATGTTTTATAACGCCGTCTC